ACCTTCCTTCCGAGGAGTGGCTGGCAGGTTTGAACTGCCAGCCTTCTGGTTAGCAGTCAAGTGCCTTAGGCACTATGCTACCAGAGCTCCTATATTTCGCAATTTTCAACACAATTGGTTTCCTTTTATATTTTTTCTCGGTTTTCTACTTCCAAGGCCCAACGGAGGGGCCACAAGAAGAGGGCTAGGGGTTGTAGGTCTACTTCAGGAGCTGTGGGACAGTCCACGGGGCATCCCCTGGGCGAGGGTAGAGGGGTACTGTCTCACACCTCCCACCGCTCCCTTGCCCCGGGGCTGGGGCAGAGGCTCACGAGGGCACCAGGGGCGCTGCGGAGCAAGAGGTGGGCGGGCTCGGCCACAGGAGGAGCAGCTCCGCCTTTGGGTAACCTCTCGCCCTCCACTCGCCCTGCAGAGGACGCTTCCTATGGTCGGATGGCTGGCGTTAGTCCGCTAAGCCACGGGCCTCACAGCTAGGACAGGTTCTGAAAGGATTGACACCATGGAGCAGCGCACGAGGCTGGCGGCCGGGCTCCCAGGGAGCCCTGGGTGCGCGTGCGTCCCGGCATCGCTGGCACTGCTATTACTGTTGACGCTGGTGCGGGAGCGCGCCGCAGGTGAGGGGTCTGGGCGGCAGCTGGTGGGGGAAGTGGGGAATCTTTTCCTACCGGACCGTAGGCGATGTTGGGGAAGATGAGGGAGAGAATTACTGAGATGGGAAGGCCACTTCCGTGATTTGGAGGGAATAGTGAGGTGGAGGGCTGACCAAGGTGTGTGGGGCGGTGAGTCTCGAGCAAAGGCAGGGTCCAGGAGAGGATATGCAGGTGGAGACTCACACAAACCAGCGGGAGGCGAGAGATTGGTGATTCCCTTCTTAAGACCCGGCCGACGCCACAGGGTCCGGCGGGGGGGGGGGGGGGGGCGCTGTGACGGCTTCCTGCCCAATGGCGAGTCTTCCTGGAGTTGCCCGGGAAGTCTGGAAAACAGATCCTTCCTTCTGCGGCCCCTGCGGGTGGTGGAGGGTGGGTAGGAGCGAATAAGGATTTCTCTGACCTGACTCAGAATTTCCATTCTTAACCACTGTTTGTTCTGCCTGGAGAATTGGCATCAAGGGAACTTGACCCCATCCTAGATTTGCTTTGGCACCCACAGGACACACCCACCGCAGCCGCATAGATGTTTACCATCATTATGGTAACTTTTGGTGTGCTTCATGCCAAGCACTATGATAAGTGCCTTACATCCATGAGGCCATTTCGACTCACAGGACATCCTCGGTTTAAACCAAACCCACTGCCAAACCAAACCCACTGCCCTGGAGTCAGTTTCGGCTCATAGCAACCGCCATTGGGTTTCCACGGCAGTGTATCTTTATGGAAGTAGAAGCCACGTCTTCTTTCCGCAGAGTGGCTGGTGGGCTCCTTCTGGTTAGTAGTCAAATACCTTAGGCGCTGCACCACCAGCTCTCCTTATCCTGGGTTTAT